CTAAAGGTGAAAAGAGCAAATCTGGCAAAGAACTAAACAGGATTTCCAGAAATAAAAATAACAGTAAATGGGCAGGCTTAACAGTAAACCAAACACAGCTGGAGAGAGAATAAAGTGATTTGAAAGTGAGCTTAGAAGAAATCTTCCAAAGTATGGCAGTGACTAGAGGATAAAAAATACGGAAAAGACATTTTAGGGTACAAAGAGTCTAACAAAGATTTAATAGAAGTTCTAGGAGTAGACGAGAGAATGGGCAGAATATTTGAAGATATAAATAGCCAAGTTATTTTCCAGAACTAATGAATGACAAGTCCTACAAATCCCAGTCAGCAAAATAAAAAACCCACACTTAGATACATGAGTGAAAATGCAAGACAAGAGATAGAAGTCACCTCAAAAGCATTCAAAAAAGACTCAGATTAACGTCAAATGCATAAAAGACTGACAGTTGCTTTCTCTTCAACAGACATCAAAAGACGATGGAATGGTCTGTGTGCTCAATGTGCTGAAAATAACTAAAGATCTGAGACTGTTACACCCAACTGAAACAGGTAAAACAGGTACTTTCAGGCAAAAATATCTCCAGCACTCTCATTAATAAATTCTGTAAGTATACTCTTCAGGCAGAAGTCAAGTGATCCCAAAGAGAAGGTCTAAAGACACAAGAAGAAATGAGAGGCAATAACAATATTAGCATACTATCAAAATAAATATTTTAAAAGAAATAGTACCACTGTGTAATGTGCCAAATTTAAACTACCATAATATGAAGTCAGCAGTGAGAATAAGTGGGGAGGAAATGGCTTACTCTACTGTTCTTAAATAAACACGTTGTAATTTCTAGGGTGACCCCAAAAGTTCAGAAACAGAACATATAACTTCCAAAGTACAAGAAACATCAAATAAAATACTTATTTTTGTTGTTTAGTCAGTGAGTCATGTCCGACTTTTGTGATCCCATGGACTGGAACCCACCAGGATCCTGTCCATGGGATTTTCCAGGCAAGAATACCGGAGTGGGTTCCTGACTCAGGAATCGAACCTGAAAACTTCTGCACTGTAGGCAGATTCTTTACCACTGAGCCACTGGGAATACTTATTTTTACATCAATCTAAAAGAAAAACAGGTTGGACAAATAAAAAGCACACACACAAATTAAAATTAAACCTAATCATAGTGATTACGTAAATCAACTAAAGGCTCCCTTTTAGATCTATCGGATTAAAGAAAATTCAACTCTATCCCACTTCTAAGAAACACATCTGTAACAAGAATACAAACAGCTTCAAGATAAAATACAATCCTTAACCAAAAGGTGATATCATTGTACTAACACCAGAAAAAACATATTCAAAGGAGAAACATTCCTAAGGATTAACGTTTACAATAAAAGGTTCAACCCAGTACTCAGTGTTACAGATCTCAATGTAAAGACACGGTTCATAACAAGACTGAAGGCAAATCTTAACCAGAAAACTGAACATGAAGAAAATCTTCCAATGGAGAAAGAGAGGAAAATGAGTGATTCAATCAGATCTTTATCTGGTTCTTTTGTGGTTGTGTAAAAGCTAGATGTCCAGAAATCAAATGATCTACCAGTCCAGTATACTTGATTCTGTTCTTACTTCCAACGAGAAGGAAAGAAAAATAACATTTACAGAGCCTACTCTCTAAGACTATCACAGGCTTTCCTCTTATTTGTAGATAAAATAGTAAGCAACTTGCTCAGCAACACACAAATGAAAAAACTAGGAATTAAAACCTGACTTCCAATACCCATGCCAATTCCACTATTCCAAAAGCCAAAGTGCTTCCCCTATTACCTACTACACAGATTATAGAACCTATATATTCCTTTACACAGCCAATCATTAAAAACTACACATTTGGGGTATTCTCTGGCAATCCAACGGTTAGAACACTACACTTTCACTGTGAGGGCTTGGGTTCCACCTCTGGTTGAAACACTAAGATCCCACAAGCCTTGCAGCACAATCAAACATTTAAAGTAAGGTTTTAAAAGTTTTCAAGGCTAACAAGAAGAAAACTACTACAAGTGTTAGTTGTTCAGCTGTGTCCAACTCTGCAACCCCATGGACTGTAGCGTGCTTCTGTCCATGCAATTCTCCAGTCGAAAGTACTGGACTGGGTAGCCTTTCCCGTCTCCAGGGGATCTTCCCAACCCAGGGATCAAACTCAGGTCTCCTGCATCGCAGGCAGATTCTTTACCATCTGAGCCAGCAGGGAAGCCCGCAGTGGTGACCGATCCACCTGCCAATGGAGGAGACAGAAGAGACTTGGGTTCAATTCCTGGTGGGGAAGATCCCTTCGAGGAGGAAATGGCAACCCACTCCAGTATTCCTGCTTGGAAAATTCCAGACAGAGGAACCTAGCGCGATACCATGTGTGCACCGACACACAAACAGAAACACACACAATCCCTTCGAGGAGGAAATGGCAACCCACTCCAGTATTCCTGCTTGGAAAATTCCAGACAGAGGAACCTAGCGCGATACCATGTGTGCACGTACACACACACACACACACACGTTTTAAAGCAGAAAGGTTCAAGTGAGCCAGTAAACCCCCCCCCACACACACACACGTTTTAAAGCAGAAAGGTTCGATTGAGCCAGTAAAACCCCCAAGAGAAGCTCCCTTTACCTGAGACCTCCTATCTCAAGCTGAACGCATTTTAAACAAATCTGTATTTTGGGCACTGCTGTTCTACCAACAATTTCGGTGGGCCAGGGGCTCAGCACTTGATTCCAACACAACCTCTTAGTTAGAACATCTCATTCTTTATGCTCACTTTTTCACTTCAGAGATACCAAAACAATCTAGAACTGACTTTTATATGGGTCCCAAGCCAAATACACTCCTACTTGAGAACACTATCTTCTATTCAAGTAATTGCATTATCTATAGTACCATCTGACCAAACAGCACAGAAACATACATGGACTGATAATCTGGTGAAAATGCACTCAGCATTAACAAAACTACAACAATGTATTCACATATCAGACATATATTGGAAGACATCTTCATGACTCTAAGTGCTTTAACTGTCCTCTGAAGCCCAGTGGAACCCAAGCGAGAGAGCTTTTAAATTCTAAGCAGATATACACTGTATAGTGAAGTGAAAGTTGCTCAGTCGTATCCAACTCTGCGACCCCATGGACTATACAGTCCATGGAGTTCTCCAGGGCAGAATACTGGAGTGGGTAGCCGTTCTCTTCTTCAGGGGATCTTCCCAACCCAGGGATTGAACTCAGGTCTCCCACATTGCAGGTGGACTTTTTACCAGCTGAGCCACAATGGAAGCTCAGGAATACTGGAGTGGGTAACCTATCCCTTCTCCAAGGTATCTTCCCAACCCAGGAATTGAACCAAGGTCTCCTGCATTGCAGGCGGATTCTTTACTAGTTAAGCTATGAGAGAAGCCCTATATACTGTATGGTGTAACAATTAAGTCAAGGTACCTTCCTTTAAACAAACATAAAATCCATATTACAAATCATCATTTCTCAGTTATATAACCTTGGATAGTAAGTTCTTTAAATGCTCTGTACCTCAGTTTCCTCATTTAAATGTTGATACTACTTATCTCTAGCACTAAATGAGTTATATTTATGTAGAATTTAAAACACTGCCTGAATAATCACGCAAGAAATCCTTTTACGCCTGTTGTACTCATCTGTACCCTCTTTACTTGAGACAATATTTTCAAAGTAATTAATCAACTCTTCAAAATTATGACCCCCTTTTCCAATAAAAATAAAAATGTATAAAACTTCTGAGCAAGTAAAAATATATCAAACTATGTAGCAGCAGAAAGCAGAGTTGGTAATCAGAACTAACTTCGGGTTGAGACCACTTGGCAAGTCCAGCAATGTGATCTACTGGTCTGCAGCTAAAGTACTAAGTAACTTACAAGAGTGAAAACAGCAGTGCTCAGGTTCTAATCCCTACCCTGCCCAACTTATTCAGATGGAATTAGTATGAAATGGGACTTAGTATTAGCATAATTTTAACAAATTTCTTCATGTAAAGAGGTTATAGACACTCTTCTATCTCCCACTTTCCAGCCCTCTTTTTCTTCAGAACACTCATAACAACTCAACAATTTATATCAAATAACCAATTTGCCTGTTTGGCTCATGATAATAAGATATATGTCCAAATAGGAGCTAAAGTTTTACTCAAAGCACCACCTAAGAACATAAGCAATTACAGATTTGATTAGACTTGAGGATATGGATAGATTGATCATTATTTCCTAAACTGATTCAGATTCATTGCCTCTTTCATTAATATTTCAAATTATCAAGCAGAAAACAAAGTAAGCAAAGCAATTTTTTATTTTGACATCTTCATACCTTTAAGTCAAACAGATTCTACCTTTTTTAGCCACTTTTCCTACAAAAGGATATTGTACTGAATACATCTGGTAGAGTTCAGAATCAGTCATCTCAAGGCAATATGGGCAAGTTGAGTAAGTAATAAAACAAGCAATAGTATTGTGGATTAAGTTAGTTCTGGTACACGTGTGGGGGTGGGGGGTGGTTTTTTTAATCACTAGATGACAAGGACAATCGTGTCACATTTAGTTATCAGTTTAACAATTTTCCCTGTCAATAGGTCCAGTATCAAAAACAGGTACTTTACCACAGATAAAACTTATAAAAATTTTCAGACTGGTATGAAAGGGCAAACCTTCTTATAAAGTAAAAGGCCCATTTTAGATCTGGGCTATTAATCTGAACCCAGACAACTTTGAAATAAGCCTCAGACATCAGTCCCAGAAGGTCACCGTAAACCTCATTTACCTCCTGTCAGCTTTAAATAAGTTATTCTAAATATAAGGCTTTTCCTTTATCCAATCAAAGGTAAGGTGTATTACGTCCTAAGGAAAATAAGTATAGAAGTAGTTATTAAAGCTAACAACAAAACAGGACCTAAAATACTAATTTGAAGTATTTTTGATGCCACCTACTTTCAAAAATGACAGATTTCGTTTTCCAGCTCAGCTCTCCTGAAATCAGATAAGCAGTGTAAGTTGTGAGCTTTTAAAATGCAGTCCTTACGGAACCCACAATCAAAGAGAATAAAATTGGGGCTCCTTGTGGACATCACGTGCCCAGCTCTTTCTTCCTCCAAAAACCCAGCCCTCCCCTACAGGCCTTCATTCCCCGCCTCCTTTCCCGGCCTCTTTTTTTTTTTTTTTGAGGGCAAAGCATGAAGCAGTGATGAGGCAGCAAGCTACAAACCTGGCTCAGTACGTTTACTTGTGCGTCTCATTTCACCCCATACCTCCTCCACCGTAACGTTAAAAACCAAACAGCTAGTTAAGTATCTTACAGTGGGAACGTGAATAGAGGAACCACTAAGAAAGCAATAGAAGCCTTCGACTTATTAAAGACACTGCAGGCCAAATCCTTCACCTCTACTGTTCAGGAGTCGACTAATTACGATCAATGCTTCCCAAATTAAAAAAACCCTGATGAAGATACCCATCCTAATTCTAATTTGTAGTTGAGAGGACACAAAAAAATCTCTTGTTAGTAAAAGCTAATGTAAGTGCTTTACTGGCTCAGTACGTTTACTTGTGCGTCTCATTTCACCCCATACCTCCTCCACCATAACGTTAAAAACCAAACAGCTAGTTAAGTATCTTACAGTGGGAACGTGAATAGAGGAACCAGTAAGAAAGCAATAGAAGCCTTCGACTTATTAAAGACCCTGCAGGCCAAATCCTTCACCTCCACTGTTCAGGAGTCGACTAATTACAATCAGTGCTTCCCAAATTAAAAAAACCCTGATGAAGATACCCATCCTAATTCGAATTTGTAGTTGAGAGGACACAAAAGAATCTCTTGTTAGTAACAGCTAACGTAAGTGCTTTACACGCGATAATTCATAAAATTCTAGCACTGAAGGCCCCTCTCCTTCATCCATCAGCTAACATTCACGCTTTCTTGCGGTACCTAAAAAGATTAAGATCAAAGAGAAGCGGGGAAGAGTTGGAAACCCAAGAGCTGGACTGATTGGCTCCCTGCTCACCCTCGCATCCCACCACCTCCTTAACTTTGAGTGGAGGGTTACCAGACGGGGGTCTGCACCCGCGCCCGGGCCTGGGACGGGGCCACGTGCAGAGGGAAGCTGCGGGGGTTCCCCTCCAGCGCAGAGAAGCCGGCGGGGCTCAGAGGGCCCCGGAGCGGACCCTCCCGGGCCGCGCCGACGCTCCTCCGCCCCACGCGCCTCCCGGTCGGCTCCCTCGGAAAGCGTCGGCCGAGCCGCGGGCCCTCTCCGCCAGCGGGGTCGCGGCTCCTACAGCGGTTCGGGCTCCGGCCTCCGCGGACGGCCCCGGAGGCCCAGCTCGCCGTCCCCAGCCCCCTCACCCCTCCGCTCACGCGGGCCGCCCGGGACCTCCACGTCCCTCCCTTCCCCGTCGGGCCCCAGCCCGTTACCGGTGGCGAGCGCGGGGAGCCAGGCGGCCCGAGCTGCGCAGGCAGTGACTCAGGGCGGCGGCAGGAGGAGCAGGAGGCGGCGCCGCGAGCAGATGGCGCTAAAAAAGACCCGAGAGCCCGCCGCTCGCGCTCATATACAATCAGCGTCAGCACGCAGGCCCCGCTCCGCCGCCCGCCCCCCGGCCTCCCCGTCTCCTAGCGACGCGACTGGGAGGCGGGGCCAGGGCCGGTCGCCTAGCAACGGAACCTTCCTCCTTTCCCCCGGCGACCTCCAAACTCGCAGCGCCAGACTTGGGTTCCCGCCTCCGCCCCCTACGACGCCTCCAGCCATCTCTTTTCTACGCTCCTAGCTAGAGAGGAACTCGCCGCCCTTTCCGTTCCGGGCTAGGGCCCTGACCCTAGCCTCGCTCACGGCCCACCTCGGGCCACCCCCCCTCACCCCGCGCCCCCGCCTAGTACTGGGAAGGATGAGGGCGGGAGGCCAACCTCCGGGTCCTGCCTAGCCGCATCCTGATAGCGAGCGCTCTTTAGTTCCCTACCTTGTCGGGGCCTAATTCCTACAAACTCTCCGATCCCGGGTAACCGTTTCCTCTCCCCGCCCATTTTTCACCATGAGAACAACAGTTCTTTCCTCCTAACCGCCTCGGCGGCGTCTTTTGCCGGTTTTGCTTTTCCTAACTCAGTGGGTCACCGTGGCTTCTGGGGATGCTTTTCATTCCAGGTTCTCCATCCTTTTACCTGACTCGCGATCCCTCATCTCTGCTTTTCGTTTGTTTGTTGGATGAAAACGGCATGTTCGTGTATGGTCTGGACGCTTTATAATGAGGACAGTGTTGTTTCCTCATTTTGAAAAAGTAAATCCAACCTCATGGCTAGTTTCAATTGAAGCTGGACTGACTAATACTAACTCTTAAGACAGTGGTTCTTAAAGTGTGGTCGGAGGGTTTCAGTACTCTTTCAACGGGAAAGTCAAAAGTATTTCCATAATTCTAAAATGTTATTTGCTTTGACACTCATTCTGTCATAATTATACAGTGGAGTTTTCCAGAGGCTACATGACATGAGATATGGAAACACTGAAAACAGAAGCAAATATTAGAATCCAGTCATCTGCTGCTCAGCCAGACGTTAAAGAGATTTGCAAAAACATAAAACCACTCTGCTCAATTTTTTCATTTTGGAAAGTAGTTTTCATATAAAAATTTATTCTCTGTTAACATTTAATCGGTTTGTTGTTTAAAATGAAATAATAACTACTCATTTCTTAATTTCAAATATGATATAGTTATCTTTAATGCACATGAAACTTCTTTGGAGTCCTAAATTTTTAAGGATATAAAGAGGTCCTTGAGATTAAAAACTTTAACAACGCTTCTCTGTTGTAGTCCTTGAAACTTCGAACTACTTAGAGTCATCTATTGTAACTAACCCAATTCCACTTTAGAGGATACAGGGCTTTTCCTCAGGGCTCCCAACCTCACTGAAACTAGTTGCCTTTCCCACTCTATGCTACAGATGCCTCGGTTTATCCATCCATTTTGGTTCTTCACATGTGATTCTTTTGGCTTCTCAAACATCTGTCTTCATTGACATTCTACTCCACAGTGATGTAAAACTCACAAGGATTATAATAACATCAGTAATGACTCCTCAAGAAGAATCTACAATATACAAGATAGGTAGACCAGTGCGCAGTATGTCAGTACTCTTGGCACTGATTTCTATGGCAACCTCAAGAGCAATGCAGTCTGAAGTGAAATTCGTTCAGTCATGTCCGACTACTTTGCAATCCCATGAGTACTGGAGTGGGTAGCCATTCCCTTCTCCAGGGGATCTTCCCAACCTTGGGATCGAACCCAGGTCTCCCGCATTGCAGGCAGATTCTTTACTGTCTGAGCCACGGGGGAAAAGCTAAATAACTTGTACCTCCTTTCCATAACCTTTTGTGGTTTGACCATCTGAGACCAAATTGAAGTTAGCCTTCGAGATGGCTTCCATCCCACTTTTGGGAACCCCACCAATTTCAGCCACTGAACTAAGGCTCGTAATTTCTGACACTTCAACTCCCACCCCCTATTCAAAGGATTATCATTACCAGTTTATGTTCTCTCCCTTCCCTTTTCTCCAGCTCCTTCCTCCAGTTTCCTCCTCCCTTTTCTTTCAGTTATCCTAGCCAGTGTAAGAAATGAAATGCTAATAGATCGCTAATGTGATCTTTTGAACCACAGTTTGTAAATCTAAACCTCTACCATTTAAGCCCAGAGAAAGACAATCATCTAGGCAGTCATTCAGCAAATATTTGTCAGGAACAATTTGAGACACTGGAAATAAAACAACGAAAAAAAAAAAAAAGAATCCTAAATTTAATGAAACTGGGGTCCGGGGAAAAGGGGCAAGTGATAGACAAGTAATGAAATAATGTTACGTATTAGTAAGTGAAAGAGCTGTGGAGAAAATAAAAAGACATAAATGGGTAGAAGGTGACTGATCTGAGCATCAGTTCAGTTCAGTCGCTCAGTCTTATCCAACTCTTTGAGATCTGATAAACCACTGAGCTTTTCACGTGGCTTTGACCCCCTTAGGCCCTGGAATCACACAACGTAGTTAACTCATGTAATTTATTTACAATAAATGGTGGCTCTGGTCACTGATCTTGGATCATGCAAAACTTTTTATTAGAGTTTCTTTTTTCTTCATTCCCTATTATTTTCATTTGATGGATGCTTACAGCATTGTAGCCCAGTGGTTTGGAAGTGTGACTTTGAAGTCACATAGCCCATTTTATCCCTATTTTATTGTGAAATGTTAAACAGCGTGTAAGTTGCTTGACCTGGCACCTGATGGATACTAAACATTCCATAAAAGTTAAACATTATAGACTTCTTACTGAGGTTTTGTTTTATTTAAAGGTTGAAGGAACTATCCTGAAGTCTAATCATATCTGACTCCATTTTTTTGCTGAATATTTTATCAAAGCTATCTTGTCACAAATTTGAAAACATATTTTCCTGAGCTGAAATAATCCACACTAGAAAAGTACTATATTCCACATTTCTAAATATTGGATATAGAGACTGTAGAGCTCAACCAGACAAATCAGTGACAGAGATGCTGTCTTAAACATGCTTGTGTCTGGAACTGTCCCTAAGTCATAGGACAGTACACAGGTTTGAAAGACAGGCTTAGCTTCATCCTAACACTGTGACCTTGCAAAAGTACTTATACATTCTGACCCTTAGGCTTCCTCATCTGAAAAGTGTATGAATAATTCTAATAAAATGTGCCACTTTGACAGCATCAAATAGCAACTATATGTAAGCCCCCACCCCAGAGCAATGATTGCATTTAAGCCCTCAAATGTTTATTTTCTCTCCACACAATCAATATGTAAAATATGTAATGGCACCAATCATAATTATCATTTAAAAACTGCACATTTTAGTACCATATCTTAATTTTGAATCTGGTTGGTTTTCTTTTTTTCCAAACTATATAACTACAACATAAAGTCAACCAAACTTTCAGTGAGGAATTGTGGAAAAGTTGCCTTAAATCTCCCCTCTACATCCAAAAGAGGTTATCTTTATTTTGCCTTTTTTTTTTTTTTGGCTACACCAGGTGACTTATGGGATTTTCAGTTCCCCAACCAGGGATCTAACCCGGCCCCCTGCATTGGAAGCTCAGTCTTAACCATTGAAGTAGCTGTAGATTAACTCATGCTTGTATAAAATAATCCATGTAAACTTTACCCAGTTTACAACAATCCAAAATCTTATTCAGATTTCCTCAGTTTTACTTCAATCCACTTGTGTGTATTTAGTTGTACACAATGTTATTATGTGTAAGTTTCTGTATCACATCAGGCAAGATACAGAACAATTCCTTCACCACAAGGATACCTTATGTTGTTCTTTGACTCTTTTTTTCTTTTCTTCTTCTTTTTTAACTCACATGCTAAATAAAGTTCTACTCTCCCAGATATTACTTTTTCCCTTGTTTCTCACAACAAGGAAACGTTGTGAGACAAGTTAGTGAGAAAACTTTCTCAACTTGGTGAGAAAACAGGCCATGTCTGTGTTCAGTATTTCTTACCTGAACTATATGTAATAGACTTGCAATTGGTCTCTTTATTACCAATCTCATCCCCCTCTGGCCTAAATGCCAAAGTTATGATTCTAAAACACAAATCTAATAAAGTCAACTTTTTAATAAAACCTTTAATGGCTCTTTGATGTCTGCATGACAAAATAAGCCCTGCAAAACCCACCCAGATCAGAATCATCCTATTTTTCTAGCCATATGTCCCACTACCTACCTTCATGAACCTCATATTTCATGATTTTGAACTACGCAGTAGACCCTCAACATGAGGAGTGTTTCTACGCCTTCTCCTCTCCCCTTCTATTAATCCTTCAATAGGGTAGTTCAAATCTTTATCTCCTGTGAGGAATCCTTCCTAACTCACCAAAGCTAATCTGGCTGCACTCCCTCGTCTGTTTTCAGACAACTCTTTCCTGTATGTTCCCGTGTTTCCTTCTCCCCCATACACGCCACAGCGGAGCAGGCCGTGGCTTTGTTTGTGTATACACTTTGCTTGAACAACGACTACTACAGGCAAAGACTTCCAATAAATATTTTTGGGGGAGATTAAATGAAAGGAAAGAAGCAAGGAGGAAAGAAAGAGAGGGAGGGAGAAAGGAAAGAAATGTTATTGAAAACAAAATAGAAGTCATAATATTTTCATCCTTTTTTGAGGACAACTGCAGGATTCCTACATTTATCACGGAGTCTATGTGAGAAGGGTTGAGAATCTTGTCTATGCAAGAAGATTTTTAGATATGCTTTGGATATTGTTTGAATATTTGCTTAGATATTATTTTCCCTCGTGTATGAAATAACTTGATGATGGAAAGAATGTAAAGAAATACTGAGATCTCCGAGATCATAATGAATAAAGAAAATAAATTTCATGGTATTATTTGGAGAAAGTTGGAGTGTCTGTCATCGGGGGAATTGATAGTGAAATGTGGTTGATGCCCATCATGGAGAATTATACAGGAGAA